CCCACGCAAGAATTAACCCATCCTTTCTCTATAGTTCTCCCTCCCAGACTTTCCTGGAATCCCAGACTGAGGAAGCTTTTAACCCTTTCTCCTCCTCCTCCTCCTCCGCCCCTTGCCTGGGGCTAGAGTAGCCTCCCTTCCCAGTTTCTGTCCCTGTGCAGGACTGTAGGAGGCCAGCTCTAGTGAACAGATAGGTAAAGATCAAGTGTGCATTCCAGCGTTTGACCTAATCCAGCCAGTGTCAATAAGGAGCAGCATAATCTTTTCCCGGATGAGGCCCAACTCAGTTTACTTAGTCTAGGAGTGTGAATTAAAGCCCAGGCTTTGATGACTAATTAAAGTCCCTCAAGTCCCTGAGCTGTGTATGCATAATCACGCATTAGAACTGGGATCCCAGGGCAGTCGAGACTTGCAAGAGCTGCAAATGTGGCCAGTGGAAATGAATTCTCAAGTCAGCTCCGTAACACGTGACTTCCTATTTCTGTAAGGTACTTCCAAGAGACTTCCTCTGTAAAGTCAGCCCCGAGTCCCAGAAGATTTCCATTCAGCGCTGTAGCTAAGCTGACTTCCAACCCGGGGCAGAAGTTTTCCCTGAGACCTGGTGTTAGTTTCTTTCTTTTTTTTTTCTCTTTCCTTTGCCATTGCCAGCATGCAAGGATCTCGTGGCTCCTGTCCGTGATCGGAAGCTGAATACACTGGTGCAGATCTCAGTAATCCACCCCGCGGAGCAGGGTCTGACAAGATACTCCAGCACGGAGATTGTGGAGGTGAGTGTGCTGTGTGCCGGCTGACTCTCGCGCTCTCTCTCAGTCGCTCTCTGGATTTGAGCACATGGGCTGAAATAAGTTAGATCATGGCCTGCAGCTATGCTCTGTCACTGTCCTCTGTCATTTAGGAAAACATACCTGAGGTTACTGAGTGTGCATTTGTAACTTACCAGAATAAACAAACGGGGGAAGAACTTGCCTTTTTATAAAAGACCTTATTTTTCTTTAATAAATAGAAGGAAAATCTCCACTTTGAATCTTTGAGTAGAGTACTAAATAGAGAAAAATATATATATAAATTTTAAATTAAATGGAATGAATATTTCTTTGGGGGAAAAAAAGAAAGTTGTAAAGTACCCAGAGAAGTTTTAAACCCGTTAAAAGTGTTTTTGCCCATTTCATTTCTTCTTGTGTTCTTCAAACTGACTGTGGAAACTCGATAATCTCTGCTGTCCTTTTCTGTTTCAAAGAAAAACATGTCTTTTTAAAGTATGATGTTTTTCAAAGAAAGGTAGATGATTCATTTGAGCAACTGTAACGTTTCTAGGCAAGAGGTGTAAATATTACTCATCCCGATGAGAGATTTCCTATTTACATTTATTGTTACTAATATAACATCCAAAATGTGTCGGGAGGAAACTTGTATTATTGTGTTGGATCAGATTCAAAAGAGGAAGTGTTTCCCTTTTGATTATTTTGTTCTCATCTTGCATATTTCACAGCCTCAGTGAATGAGATACTTATTTGAACATCTGGAACCAAAGAAAGTGTACTCTAAACCCCTGAAGCTTTGCGTGTCTTAGACTTGGGAGCCCTGAAAGAGAAGCTTCTGTGCAAGAGCCTGAATTGCCTACCCCCAGACCACGATTGCTCAGTGCAGTTGGTGGAATAAATGATTCAGGCTAAACACCACTCATTTCTCTGATGGGAATGACCCAGATCCTGCGCAGGGCCCTGAATCGGCCCCTGGGATGCTTCAGATTCCAGTGCTGGTCTAATTAGTAGTTACTGCTGTGGCTGAATAAACAAAAATAGTTTTATTCACTTGTAGAAAACTTAACTAAAAATTGGAAAATTGTTCACTTATATGATAATTATTTCCAGGTATTATTCCAACTTACTTATTTGAAACATTAAAGAAATTATTTTGACATGTTTATTTGAACATGCATAGCTGTCGTCGACTGTTTCATTCACTGCCTGTTCCAAAGTGTCTAACACAGGGCTGAACACAAGGTAGTATTTGTTGAATAAAAGGAAGAAAGAATGAATGACTAAATGAATAACTTTGGCTTCCAGAAACTTCCATAGACAACTGGTTTACAGAACTCTAGCAGATATCTCTGTGATATTCAGCAATATATGTATTCAAATATAGATACAAAATTTAATGCTGGATGGCAGCTCTCTAAAAATTAATTCTGAGGCATTGAAATACCCTGTGCACTGCATCCTGAGCTAGTAATCCCATAGCCCCAAATCCATCATATTTAGTTTCCTTCATTAGTTTTCAAATCAGTCTGAGAAAAAAAAAATAGCAGAACATCTGAAAACAAATGGATGCTATCAGAGCATGGCTTTCAACTGAATCATTACAGAAGGGAAATAAATGGACAGTCTAAGATACCAAATGCTTCTTTATGAGAAAATAGCTTCCTTTTAATTTGATCAGTCGATATCTTAGGTTATTTGCACCAATCGCAGGTTAGATCCATTCAGTGTGTTCTAAGCGGACTGACCACTGACCCTAAAGAAGGGCTCTGGGTATAATGAAAATAAATTGTTTTTCAAGATTTTTAGCTGCCCTGACAATGATAACAGGACTTTACCAGCAGCAGCTCTATCAGTACTTTGGGGACCTGGGCCATGTTGTTCCCCGTGGGCATCATTTGACAATTCAGATCTCTCTTCTCATAGAACTATTTCCTAGAAAAACAAACAGACCCAGACACTTTCTGCATTCTCATGTGTCGCTGCCTGCTGCCGACTGCGGTGGCTGCCTTATTGAATCAAAGTTGTCTGCTTGTGCCGTTACAGGGAACAAGAGACCCACTGTTCTTAACCGGCGTCACATTCCCATCTGAGTATCCCATCTATGAGGAGACCAAAATAAAACTGACAGTCTATGATGTCAAGGATAAATCTCATGACACCGTAAGTACTTGCACGTCCTTCTTTCTTTGGGAAAAGAAATCAATAGGCTTTTCCAAACCGTCGGGTTTTTGGTACAACTGGCATTTTTCAAAGAGGGTCTTTGTACTGTGTTTATGCTTGTCTTATGTTTACAGTTTGCTGGGTTTTTTTTTTTTTTCAAATTCATGTGGCTTAGTACCAAGTTGGCATATTGGTTAGGAGCAAAAGCTTTCAGAACAGATTTCCCTCTTTTTCAGGAAGGCTGGCTTGATGTCTTGGTTTACATTTTTGCTGTTGTTGCTGTAAGGAGTTGCTGAAAGAGTAACATTGTGGGCAGAAAGCAAGTGGAGGAGATTAAATAATGTTTCAAAATTTTCTAGGTATTGTCATTATTCTAAAATGGGATTGATAACGTACTCTGCTTTCACAATTTGTTCTTTTACAATTTATTCATACTGAATAAGAGAAACTCCCTCTGTTCTTCTGATGTTCGTGGCATCAAAGCAAACAGAGGAGGTAACTGGCAGCACCAGGCAGGAGCTTTAATTAGCCTCTTCACCGGAAGCTTACGTCCAGTCCGGATGGTCTTCTGTCCTAGGTTCTTCAGTTTTCCTACAAGGTCTGACTTTTCCTCCTTGAATCGGTGGATTCAGGTGAAACTGTTAGGTCCCCAGGCACTGTCTCTGAAGACCACTCTGGAAATCCCTGAACAGGAGAGAATGCCTTTGGCAGGTGTTGAGAAGGGGATGGTTTCAAGGGTGCCCTCTTTAAATCTCTCCCATAACGTGCATTTTTGTCTGTTTACAAGGTGGGGGGCGGGGGAGCTATGGGCATGTGGATGGTCCACAGAGCAGTATAACCCAGGAAACACTTTGAAAGCTGTAAGCGAGGAGGTTCCAGGGGAATTCTGGTTGAAGCTAAGAGGTGCTGCTGGGCCCGGAGAGTCACATATACCTGGTCAAGGGGAAATGCAACTCTGGACTCTACACTCACTAAGCATCTCTGTCTTGCTTGTGATTCTTTCTTTCCTTTCCACTCTTTACCATAAAGTATATAACATAGGTGAATGGTGGGGATATTTAATGGAGAGAAAAATATTCTATATTGAAAGAATTTCTACTCCTCTTAGCTCCAGAAAAGTTCATTTCCTTAAAATTGCAGAAGAAATGCCCAGTGGCATGCACAGTACATACGTGGAAGAGAACCAGCGATGGGGTTCGGTAGACTTGTGGAGAGGGTAGACTGTCTGGTTCCTGTTCCACGCACTGGCTTTGTGGCTCTGGGACAGTTGCTCCTTAGCTCCTCTGTTTCCTAACTGATACTCACCTGGTGGGGTTGTTGTAAGGACTAAATAAGTGAATCTGTGTAAAATAGTTAGAAGACTAATGGCTACAGATTAATTAAGAGCAAGGTTATTCTTGTAGTTATTGTTTTGGCTGCTGCCTTGTGGCCCCTCATCAATGGTAAAAATCAAATATATTGTAACCAAAGTCTTTTTCCGTATTTATTAACTTTGTTTTTTTCTCAAGTAATCCTACATTTGTCATTTCTGGCTTCTTTGTAAAAAAGGGGGAGATAAAAATACTTCAAGAGATAAATATTGAGGTTGAAACTGGCAACCACAAAAAAGATTTGCTTGCAAGTTTTGTTTTCTCCTTTCCGTGAATGTTCCTTGATTTTTGAAGTGATATGGAAAGGAGTGGACTGTGCTTGGGAGATCTGGACCAAAGACTATGCACAAAGCCTACAGCATGGCTTTTTTTTTTTTTTTTTTTAAATTCTACCAGGGAGAGAAATGGGGAAAAAATCATAAAGCTGGGGGAAAGGGAGATATTTTGCAAATGAATGGTGGGAGGAGGTGACACAACTGCAGAGAAGCAAGAAGCTGAAAAGTGACAGAGAAAGTAAAGCAGAAACTATGGGATTTTATGTTTTTCCAAGCACATGATCAAATTCAGTGCTCTCAATGGTCCCCAGGCATAGACAGGACAGAGAATATGGAAGGGACAGAGTTATGGAAACACTGCACTGCAGAGTGAACTCTTCTTAAGCTTATTAAGTCCTCAGAAATATCAGAGTTAGAAATATTAAGTACCAAAGATGTTTCTGTCCCCTTCAGTCTTCCTCGTTTACAGTGCACGTGTACATTGATGCTTTAGGGATACATAATTAGCTTACTCATTAATTATGCTTTTTGTTGGCTCCTGTTTTGGAAACTCATTGATTAGAGTCTTTTAAAGACTTTCTTCCTTGATCTAGAGGTGTTATCACATAAAAGTATTGAAGGAACTGGAAACCCCACTGTGAAATCAGACTTGTGAAATTTGAACGTACTTAAGAAATGCAACCAGCTTTCATTTACTGAGTACTGTTAATTAAGGCATAACCTCTTCCTTAAAATAACTAACAATTAGCTCCGGTGATGGAAGTGTAAATAGAAACACAGTGCATTAATATGCTTATAGTCCCCACGGACATGCAGTCTTTATTCTGGCGCCTTTTCTTTCTTTTTCTTTTTCTTTTTTTTTTTTTTTTTTTTGGTGCAGAGGTGGATGCAGAAGTAGGGGAGGCAGCAAGGGATTTTAAAGTACAGTTTATAATTATGGGCACTTAAGAAACTAAATACTTTAAGATCATAATACCTTGAAGGATTAAGAAATGAGATTATGAATATTTATGTGTTTTGGAAAATCAACAAATTATGTGCACGTATTTAAGAGCAGTGTAAGTATTTGATCCTAGCAAACCATTGATCATATTAGGACAGAACAATGAGATGTCCTGTGCTGGCTGAATACAAATTAACTAGGTCGGCTGACTGAGTTCCTGACATCTTGTTCGACTGAGTTTCTTATTACTTGGAATTAACCAGATGAATGTGTTATTTTTCCGTTTCATGTTTGTTTGCATACATATTAATATTGAAAGTTTTTACAGAGATATGATAACCTTTCATCTGTGTCCTTGATGTGGGGCTATTGTCTAACTCCCTGTTCTTGTAGTCCCCTGAACAACTGAACCTAAGATTATCTTTCTTAATAACTTCAGCAGAAATGCAATTAATCATTGTAACAAATAAGAAGAATCTGTGGATCTGGAATGACTATTGTTCCCTCCCTCTACATCCTTCACCCCTTCGGATTCATTGCAGTGTGTCTCCCGCTGTGGCAGATGGATAGGTGATGCTTGGCTGGTAGGGAGACAGGGAATGCCCTGGGGTGAGGGGGTGGGAGTGAGAGGGTCATTCTTAGAATTAAAGTGACATTTTTGTTATTTTCCTCACCGTGAGGAAATGGCCTGTTTTCTCAGAATGGGCTGTTCTAACATCCAGCTGTTTGGTGGAGTCCTCAGAGATTGGAATTGAAGCCCATGGTTTGAATATGAGAGCCCAGGTTCTAACAGTGATGTCGATGTCTCCTGGATAGATGCTGGTTGTCCGCTCTATTTTAAAACTCTTAGAAACTGAAACAGCATAGACAAAAGTGTTTTTTTAGCACTTCATTTTCAATGTTCAGCCCTAGGGGATCAAGCTGGGAATCTGAGTCTTTCATATGTTACAGTGAAAACTCAGAGGAAGGAGAAATTTATGAATGAAAAGAGCATCCCCATCAAACCTTTCTTCTCTCTTTCTTCTTCCTCTCAAGCAGCACAGTGTTTGGGAAGATCCTGAACAAGGTACTCTCAGTACCCAGCTGAGGGCCACCATAAATCTACAAACACATGAGTAGGTCACAAAACTGTTTTTGCCCATGATAGAAATTTAAATTTCTGATATATTTTGCAGGAGGACACATTGATCTCAGTCCTTTTGCTTTGGGGTTTAAATGTTTGCTGTATCCCCAGATTGTTAGATTTTTAGCTTATAGGACAGAGTCTCATGTCCAATAGACAATGAACATTTCTCATCTGAGGATATATATCCTAAGACATTTATTTTTACTGCCAATAACTAGCAACTGTCCATTTATACCTTTTGGAAAAAGTGATCTTATCTAGGTTGGGTGTAAATTTATTCTATTATGTGTATTATATGAATCAGGAAGCTTGGTTCTTGTACAATTCCCTAGGCAGAATTACCCAGTTTAGTTTTTATATTTTTCAGTGGAAAACCATTTTCTATTTAGTATACTCTGACTTGGCTTGATTTCAGCATTGACTTCTTAGATGTTTAAGTCTAACTATACCTGTTGAGAGAAAAATTCTGTGGCTAGTCTTTCTCTTGACCTGAGAGATGTGGTGCACTGGATAAGGAAAAAGAAATTAAAATTATTGATCACTAAGTATACACCAAGCACTATGTCTAATTATTAGTTTCTTTCTTAATCCTTATAAAAATTCTTTGAGGGAAGTACCATTATGTCCATTTTAAAGATGAAGAAATTGGGATTCTGAAAACTTAGGTCAAGTCAAAGATCCTTTATTTTTTCTTGCTACACTATGGTACATACGCAGTTGATAGGATTTCTCTCCTTTTCGTTCCCACAATGTGATATTTTTCCTTCAACTGATACTTTAAAAACATTCTTCATTTGGAGCCTAAAAATTGAGAAAAAATTTTCAGTATTCAAAGATAGGAAAAAAACACCTCACATCTAAACATTTTAAGCACTTAAATATGTGCAACAAACTACAGGTGTCTGAAAAATTTTTATAATGAAGTGGCCAGCTACTCTTCATGAAAAAATAGTTGTTATTGACTACTGTGAAATGGCTAGATTTATGTCTCATACTTTGGCCTTATTTTTCCCTTTTCTTTTCTGTGTGCTATGTGGTCCTCTCAACCTGTTCATTCTCTCAGCCTTGGTCTTTTGAATGAACATACAGAAGTAGTTCAGGGTCTAACATGTTGCTGCCCTTCATAAATCACTTCTTGTCCTTCCCACCCTTGATAAGTCATATATATTTACAAAGAGCATATTTATATTTCATTGGGGTATAATTGACATAACAATAAAATGGACAGATCTTAAGTGTTCAGTGCGATGGGTCTGACAATGTATGTGGCCATGTGGCCTCTATGC